CCTGACCCTCCCCGGACACCAGGGCCCTCTCCCGGACGCCGGGGCCCCTCTCCCGGACACCGGGGCCCCCCCCGGCCGCCGGGGCCCCTTTGGGGATTCCTGATCCTCCTCGGACGCCGGGGCCCCTCTCCCGGACGCCGGGGCCCCCCTCGGACACCAGGGCCCCTCGGACGCCGGGGCCCCTCTCCCGGACACCAGGGCCCCTCCCGGACACCAGGGCCCCTCTCCCGGACACCAGGGCCCCTCTCTGGACCCCCAACCCCTCCCGGACACCGGGGCCCCTCTCCCGGCCGCCGGGGCCCCTCTCCCGGACGCCGGGGCCCCTCCCGGCCGCCGGGCCCCCCGCCCCCGCTCACGCCGGCTCTCGTGCGCCGGGTTGCTGAAGAAGACGAGGCCGGCGGTGACGGCGACGCCGGCGGCCACGGCCGGGTCCACGAGGACGGGGTCGAAGGTGACGGCGCCGGGCGGGAGGCTCTCGCCGCCGTCCCAGCTCCGCGCCACCATCCGGCAGCGGCACCGGAAGAAGTTCTGGTTGCGGATGTTGATGGCGAGCGAGCCGTCCGGCAGCTCGTAGGGCTGGGGGGAGCCGGACGCCTGGGCCCCTCGGACGCCGGGGCCCCTCTCTGGACCCCCAACCCCACCCGGACGCCGGGGCCCTCCCGGACGCTGGGGCCCCTCGGACGCCGGGGCCCTCCCGGACGCCGGGGCCCCTCTCTGGACCCCCAACCCCACCCGGACGCCGGGGCCCTTCTCCGGACTCCCGACCCCACCCGGACGCCGGGGCCCTTTGGGTGCCTGGGCCCCTTTGGACACAATGCTGGACACCGGGATCCCTCCCACCCGGACGCCGGGGCCCCCCAGCACCTCCCGGACGCCTGGGCCCCTCGGACGCCGGGGCCCCTCGGACACCGGGGCCCTCCCGGACGCCGGGGCCCCTCTCTGGACCCCCAACCCCACCCGGACACCAGGGCCCTTCTCCGGACTCCTGATCCCTCCCGGACACCGGGGCCCCTCGGACGCCGGGGCCCCTCTCTGGACCCCCGACCCCTCCCGGACACCAGGGCCCTTTGGGTGCCTGGGCCCCTTTGGACACAATGCTGGACACCGGGATCCCTCCCACCCGGACGCCGGGGCCCCTCAACGACTCCCCGGACACCGGGGCCCCCCAGAACCTCCTGGACGCCGGGGCCCCCCAGCACCCCCAGACGCCGGGGCCCCTCAATGGCCACCCGGACACCCCCGGACACCAGGGCCCCCCAGAACCTCCCGGACGCCAGGGCCCCTCAACGGCCGCCCGGACGCCGGGGCCCTTCAGCACCTCCCGGACGCCGGGGCCCCTCAACGACTCCCTGGACGCCGGGGCCCCCCAACACCCCCGGACACCGGGGCCCCTCAATGGCCGCCCGGACACCCCCGGACGCCGGGGCCCCACCTGGCACTCGTCGGGGGTGAAGTCGAAGGGGCGGGCGGGGGCGCCGTAGGGGAGGGCGCGCAGGGTCCCGCCCAGGCGCCACGAGGCGCCGCCGTCGTCGCTCAGGAGGCAGGAGACGCCGTCGCGCTCGGGGGAGCCGTGGCCGCACACGACGAGGCGGCCGCGCGCC